ATGAATACTACTGTTTTAACTTGCAAGCCAAGGACACTGAGCAGTGTCGACACTGCAGACAGGATGACAATGATGAGAGGGCACCATGATGACAAGCACAGGGGCTCTGAGGGAATGGAGGACAAAGCTCCAGGCCCACTGTGCTCCCTGCACCGATTTCCTGGCCAGACCAGAGCCAGAGCTACTACGTGTGTGCAGGAGGCCAGTCCCAGGGTGTGCAAAGGGAGGCGGGGTTGTGCGTGTCTCTGGCTCCCAGAGCTGCAGAGGGACCGGGAGGGTTAATAACTCAGCATTTGGAGCCACACAGACTTGATTCAAGGGGCTCCTCCACTTGACTTACTTTGCGTCTCTGAGCCTCAGTTTCCTCTCCTGTAAGTGGGGATTCAGTAGTGCCTTCCTCGTGGGACCACTGGGAGGGAGGCACCAATGACAGCATGCAAGGAGGGTGCCCAGTGTTAAAACTGAGGCTCGGACAGGGTCTGCCCATGGATTAGCTTACTTGGCTGAGCTGCCTGAACTGGGGCAAAGCGGGAGGCAGACAGGAGAGGATGGAGTTGAGAGCAGCTGCAGTGGAAGGAGCAGGTGCCAGTGGCCAGTTGGGTGGGGTGTGTGGAAGTGAGCGAGAGGACCGTGGGAGGGGATCCATTTCTGGGATGGTGCCTCCTGTCTGCTGCCCTTGAAGCACAACTGGCCTCCAGGCCAATTACAAAGACCATCAGGGCTTTCTTTGTTCCTTGACGGGCAAGCCCAGCTGCTTGTTCCCCTAACAGTCTCTGGGGCCACCACCTACTGGAGAGATCACCTCCTTTCACACTGCAGAGCTGTCCACCGGGGGCAGGAGCCCACAGCGCAAAGGGGGATGGGAAGGACTCCGAGCACCTTCCAGACCAGGAACAGAGTCTGGGTTCTGTCTTTCCACCAGGCCCAGTTCTGGCCACAACCCTCGCTTACCGGGCATGAGCAGGCGGTAGTTGTGCTGGAGGCTGCAGGCCAGCTGCCGGGTGAGCAGCCTGGACGCCATGGTCCCGATCCTTCAGGACAGAGGCTCCGTCACGCGCTGCCGTCCTGCGAGAAAGCAGAGCTGCACTTAGGCTGGCCAAGAGTCTCACCCCCACAACCGCTCCACACAGTCCAGAACGCTCCGCTGACATCAAGTCCTTTGCCTTTATACTGAACATCAGCATTAATCAAAACCCATTTCATTTGCCCTTTACCACTAACCCAAGAAGGACCATGATGCCCATTTTCCAGATGGAAAAACAGAGAGGGGACGTGGCTGGCTGGAGAGTCCTCTGTGAGCGAGCTGACAAGGTCCCTTTCAGGTCTCCAGACCCACTCCAGACAAGAAGGCAGCCCATTCTTTGCAGCGTGGAAGGACTCAGCCAGGGGAACCTCCGAAACAGTCACAGAGGCCACTCAGTATGGGAAGTTTCCTTTGCCCCATTCCCAAGGAGAATATTGGTCATAGGGTAACTTTGGAATCCTGGAGGACCCGCTGGCAACTGATCGTGGTGCTCATTTTGGGGGTAGGTACATTGTCCCCCGCAATCTGCTCCACCATCCAGCAGGGTGGAGTAGGAATCCTATTTCACAAACAAAGAAATGGATGCTTGGAGGCGGTTATGGTATTTGGCCTTGGTAACAGGATTGCTTGGGTCTGTCAACCCTTCCTTTTACTTGTAAAAAACCAGCTGCCCTGGAGTTGACTCCGACTTATGGTGACCCCATGTACATCAGAGTAGAAATATGCTCCATAGGGCTTTCAATGGCTGATTTCCTGGAAGTAGATCCCCAGGCCTTTCTTCTGAGGTGCCTCTTGGGTGGACTTGAACATTCAACCTTTCGGTTAGCAGCCAAGCATGTTAAACGTTTGCACCAACCAGGGACTCCACTTACTCATTACCCAACCCACTGCCGTCGAGGTGATTCCAACTCATGGCGACCCCATGTGTTACAGAGTAGAACTGCTCCATAGGGTTTCCCTGGCTGTAATCTTACAGATGCAGATTGCCAGGCCTTTCTTCTGTGGTGCCACACAGAGGATTCGAACTGCCAACCTTTCGGTTAGTTAGCAGCCGAGAGCAAACTGTTTGAGCCACCCAGGGACCCTTTTTACTCATTATAACATACCAATTAACTCAGCTAATAACAAAGCACCTAAGTAGGTATGGGGCTTGATGAACAGCAGTGATGTCGTTCATCATATGACCATATGACTCAGCAATCCCGCTCCTAGGTATATACCCAAAAGAATCGAAAGCATACGGCCACACAAAAACAAAAGCAACATTTTCATCAGAGGAAATTTTATTGAGAAGAGCATGGGTTTGGAATGTGCGGCCATAAATTAACCGAGAAGCCATACTCTTTTTTTTGATAACTCAATGGATTTTTTAAAAAATCTATTCTAGCATATCCAAGTCACTACAAGCCTGTTAATTTAGCACCATGATAACTATGTAGAAAATTCTCGTCTCTCACTTAAAACCATTTGCCTCAAACGGGAGTACTTAAGACTCCCCACAACTCAATTTCCATTAACCGTGTTTTTGGAAACGTGAATCTCGGAGAACTTGCATATTGACATTTAGATAGTCTTCGCCAGTCAGAGTCACACACGCACGCTTTCAATTAGAAAATGTCACGTTGAAAAATACATCCTGGTGACATTTTGGTGGCCTGCAGTCAAAAGTGACCTTCTAACAAAACCTGATTTCTGCCAGACATTAATTCTCAGCCCAACATACTTCCCGTAATCAGGAGTTAATGTCATTCATTCACTCTCTCGCCAACTAATTCCACCAACAAAAATTAATTAATCACCTCAGACAGGTACAGGGAAAAGTAAGATGGAGAAAAATGCTCTTCTCTTTCGGAAGCTCATAATTTAGTGCCAGAGGGATAAGGAAAAAAATGGGAGCAAATAATACTTTAGGAGGGGCCACTGACGGTTCAGTGGTAGAATTCTTGCCTTCCATGTGGGGGGCCCAGGTTTGACCCTGGACAATGAACCTCAAGCACAGTCACCACCCATCTGTCAGTGGAGGCTTGTGTATTGCTATGATGCTGAAGAGTTTTCAGCAGAGCTCCCAGACTATGGGAGACTAAGAAGAAAGGCCTGGCAATCTGCTTCCAAAAATCAGCCAATGAAAGGCCTGTAGATCACAATGGTCTGATCTGCAACTGATCATGGGGATGGCATAAAACTGGGCAGAGCCTCATTTCGTTGTCCTTGACGTCGCCATGAGTTGGGGCCCGACTCGACAGCAGCTAACAACAATGGGCCAGGATGCTTACCCATCAGGACAATACATCCGAGAAGATGTGCATATGAAAATTTTCCACTTCACTATCAACAACTAATTCTACGTAAGACAGAATGAAATCGTGACCATTCTACAGGTAGGAGCAAGATGCTTTGTGATTAATTTCGCCGGGTGTTAAGTTGCCATCGAGGTGCCACCTGAGCTGTCCCTTGAAAGAACAGGGGATTTCAGAAGTCAAAGAAGGAAGGGGAGGTGTTCCAGAGGGCGGGAACAGAACAGCAAATGATTGGAGGTGTGAAAGGACATGGAATGATCAAGGATTTGGGAGCACGTTGAGTGTGGGTGCAACAGACATCCCAGAGGAGGCAAAGGAAAGATGACTGGGAAGGGACAGCTGGAGCTGATCGCATACAATTTCTGGTCCCATGTCTCTGTTGATGAGATCACAGACAAGACATCTTCCTCTGGAGACTCTCTGAAGGGGAGGAGGAGCCCAGCACCTCATATGATCCAGAAGGGTCTGTGCTTGGCCAGGCCATGGGGAGAATTATCTAGGCATGGGACATGCACTCAGCATGTCAATGAGCCTGGGAACAACAGGAGCTCCCAAGGAATGTTGTGGGGCACCTACAGAGGTGGGAGTTGATGGGGAAGAAGATACCAGGGACCTGGGCCTAAACCCTCAGTCTTGGAGTTGGTTCCTTTTCCTTTAAGAATTATGTGCTCCTCCAAAAGTTAAACATAGAATTACCATATGACCCAGCAATTCCGCTTCTAGGTATATACCCAAAAGAACTGAAAACATATGGCCACACGAAAATTTGTACACGAATATTCATTGCAGCACTACTCACAACAGGCGAAAGGTGGAAACAACCCAGATGTCCATCAACAGATGAATGGATAAACAAAATGTGTCTACCCATACAATGGGATATTATTCGGTCATAAAAAGGATTAAAGTACTGAGACGTGCTACACCATGGATGGAGCCTGAAAACGTGATGCTGAGTGAAGGAGGCAGACACAAAGGCCACATATTGTGTGATTCTATTTATAAGGAATATTCAGAAAAGCCAAGTCCATAGCGACAGAAAGCAGATCAGTGGTTGCCAGGGAGTGGGGGAGGGAGAAGGGGGAGTGACTGCAAATGGGTACAGATTTCTTTCGGGGATGATGAAATGACTTGGAACTAGACAGAGGTGACGCCTGCAGAACATTGTGAATGTACCTAACGCCAGTGAACTATACACTTTAAAATGGTTAAAATATACACTTTTATGTTATGTGTATTTTACCACAATAAAAAAGCGTACCTTCAGGCACTCAGTAAATGCTCCTTGAGCGTCTGCTGTGTCAAGCCATGAGGTACGTTGACTGTCTACGGCAGAACCAAGGACACATCCCTCCCCAAGCCTCAGTTTCCTCATGTGGAAAGTGGGGATGATGGATCAAATTGTTCCTAAGGGCCCTTGTGACTGTGAGGGTCACCTGGCAAATCTGCTGGAGGTTCTAGTTTACTGAGTCTTCGCCACAGTGTTGCCCCCGTGAGTCCCACAACCGCTGCTCCTACCCCCGCAGTGGCAGTATTATTATCTAGCCCTGTTCTTTCCACCATGCCCTTTGCAATGTCTCCGGACTTGGATTGTTGCTGTTGCCATTGAGTCGGATCCGACTCACAGCGACCCTCTGTACAACAGGATGAAGACACTGCCCGGTCCTGCACCATCCTGCACTTGAGCCCATTGTTGCAGCCACTGTGTTGAGCCATCTCGTTGAGAGTCTTCCTCTTTTTTGCTGACCCTCTATCTTTCCAAGGATGATGTCCTTCTCCAGGGACTGGTCCCTCCTGACAACATGTCAAAGTACGTGAGATGAAGTCTCACCATCCTCGCTTCTAAAGAACATTCTGGCTGTACTTCTTCCAAGACGGATTTGTTTGTTCTTCTGGCAGTCCACGGGGTATTCAATATTCTTCACCAACACCATAATTCAAAGGCATCCATTCTTTTTCAGTCTTCCTTATTCATTGTCCACCTTTCACACGCATATGAGGTGACTGAAAATACGATGGCTTGGGTCAGGCACACTTTAGTCCTTAAAGTGACATCTTTGCCTTTGAACACTTTGAAGAGGTCTTCTGCAGCAGATTTGCCCAATGCAATACGTCGTTTGATTTCTTGACTGCTGCTTCCCTGGGCGTTGATTGTGGAACCAAGTAAAATGAAATCCTTGACAACTTTGACATTTTCTTCATTTATCACGAAGTTGCTTATTGGTTCAGCT